TGCCTCTTGAGCTCGCGCTTGAGTTCGCTAAAGTGTCGATTCGGTAAAACTAGGCGTGTCCCGCTGTTGTGTCAAGCATCCTCTGCTCAATATTAATTAAGTTCGGAATTTTCTGCCAGCCCAGCATCTGTAAATGAGGTGATATGCTTGAATTATCGTAGCCAGTAAAGCCGAGGTACGCAGTACTTAAAACTTGAAAGAAAATACCGCGATATAAGAAAATTTCAAGTAGACAAACACACGCAGACTGGGTTTCGGACAGCATGGTCTAAGAGTTTTATGATTATTATATTTTCTTCAACCCGACGAACTTATTTATTCATTGAAGTAAAAAATTATGTTTAATTGCGAGTAACAGTTATTTGAATATTCATAATTCAAATTTGACGCCAATTCATGTCGACTGCAATTGGCACGCCTGTTCAGATCTCCGATAAAACCATTAGAACTCCTCACGAGAAGCGATTCTGCGCATGAGCGGAATTTCAACATAAGGTATTTATTTAGGTTAATTGATTTGTTGAACTTGATTCTTGCTTTAGCACGAGTTTTTCATTTTCTTGTTCTCTGAGATGACAAGCAGCTCTGCAAATGAACTCCAACAAACATACAATCTTTGCAGATTTCGGGCAGAGACTAAAAGGGTAAAATGATTGAAAGGATGAAACTTTTTCTGTGTTGACAGCTAGTTGATTTTGTGTTTGATAGTTAAATTACTCATATTCGTGTATAAACGAATTGCCTATAAAAATTAATTAGAGCAATTTCTTTTTGTGCAATTGTATTAGAACTGTACAAAATTTTTTTAGAACCTTAATAATTGGAACCTGAAAAGTTAGAGATTTCTGAAATTGAAGCTGATGAGCTAACCCAAGGATAAAGCTGTGAGATTCAAAACTCAATAGTCCCCGCAAGCAATTTCTTCAAAGCTGTTAGATTTTAGGTTGACCAAAAATTTTTTTCACTCCTCTTCAGGATCTGAATTTATGACTGCTGTGGGAAATTGAAGTCTATTTGAATAAATTTACATTCATAAGGGCAAATCAGATATTTTTAGAATTAGTTCATTTTTAATTCCCTCCATCATGCAATATTTGATTAATTTCCTATATATGATAATGCTGGTACTATTCCAGATACTCACTAGTCTACTTATCGGACTCAAAAATGAACTTGAGGAAGGGGAATGAAAAATGTTCTCCTCTGCCACTATGCTTCAAATTTTGATAATTTATATATAAAAAAGCCAAGAATCAAGCATGTCATAGTCAGGAAGATTTGTTGTGTCTGTAAAACTTAAATTTTACCTTGTGTACCAATCAAGTAAACAGATTTTGGTTTGAATCTATGACCTCTGCTCTAAAATGTATTTGAAGAGTAGCACACATAGTCTAAGGCCTAGTGTCAGCAGACACTAGGCTAGTGAGTGTCTGTCAGCTACAGACACCCTCACTCACTTTTCCTCACTACACATGGTGTCAATACAATTTCATTGTTAGCTATTGCCAATAGTCTATTTATGTTCCTTTTTAATGTATGGTGTAAAATCTTACTGGGAGATCTTTAGTCATGTCTTGCAAAATTTACATTTTAGACTTGCAACATTGACCTTGTGATTTAACATAGAGCTTCAAGCCAACATAGTGACCCCCCTAATTGTTTTAACACTAGTCACTAATAATAATTAAAAAAGCAGCCATCTAATACTATTGTGTAGATTTGAGAGTCAATGAAAAAAAAAACATTTATATTTATATACATTTTGGGAAGTGTAATTTTGTGTGATGGTTGAAAGCACTTTGGATAAACCACTGCGGCCCTGCATAAGCGAGCCTATGTGCAGAAAATGAAGTATTTTCATGCATAATTTCTACTGCTCATTCAACTGAGGGTTATTTTCTAGGTAAATCATCTGATTGTTTGTAACAAATATAATTAAAAACAATATCAATATTATAGGGGAGGGGGAAAAAGATTTGAGAAATATTTCTCACAATTACAATCATGTATCAAAACAAATTGAGTTTGCAGCAGTTAACATCCTTGATCCTTCCATGCAGTCAATGGTCACAATCTGCTTGCTTACTTCTCCTTAAATCCAAAACAAAGCTACAAAATTATTTATAAACAAATTTAAATTCATATTATTAATGCTCTCAGTCCCTTTAAAATCAAACATGAAATTCTATAGTATTATACCCTGTAACTTAATAAAATACTTAAAAAGAATAACATTTGTGTTGAAAGAAAATCAGAGCCATCGTAAGGTTCTCTATTAAATCTTATGATACCTGCTACAATCACCATTTACATTGATGATAGGTGATCCTCTTGATTTGCATATAAATATATAACTAAATGATACTTGGAATAAATGAAAGTTATTCCACACTTATCTGAATAGTTGAGGACAATTTTACAAATATTTCAATTATTATTTATAAACTCAAATAATTTAATTATCTACTTATATGTGTGTGAGCATATTATAAAACAAGCAAGAAGTGGTGAACAGCATAAGCAAATAATTGGCTAATACTCCTAGCATACATTTTTCAACATTCAACTTGCCAATTCCCTACTTTCTCAACAATTATAATAACAGTATTCAGCCAGGTATACTAGTATAGTTTTAGAACATTTGGCAGAAAACCACCCTAACAGACGTCTCCCCTTTTTTTAGCATTCATCTTGAATGCGTGTGAGTCTAGTCCAGGATAAATTAGAAGAAAAAGGGCCAATAAACATTATCGAAACTTTCCTTATTCTTCTATAATTAAAAAGAATTTCTTTTGAGAGCAGGTACATTAGAGGGTATTAAATTCAATAATAAAGAAGGAATAATATCAGCATTAAATTTTTAGTCCAGAGAACTGGATGAAAAACATTTTGAAGTAAATAAAAATCACATTTCCTGACATTTAATGTCTTTTAAAGGCACTTGTTAAAAGAAAGCTCTGAAAGGATGTAGAGCTGCTGGAAATTTAAGAATTTATACCTGATCACTGGCAACTCCTTGCAAAAATGTATATTGAGGATTAGTTATAATGTACAATTTTTCAAGATAATGCTCTAATATAATTAATGAATGTGATATTGTCATACAAAAAAATAGATATCACATAATTGGCCAAAGATTTACCATTTTGTATTTTCCATGCTTACAGAACTGAGTGAAGAATCTTATACTGAAGTGAAGAATCTTATATACTAACACAGCAATCTATTCTGATTCAAAAATATATATTGATATGAAGAGTTGATAGTATGTATGTAAATATAGTCTTTTGCCATTGCTTATAACAAATATCTAAGTAATATACATGTCACTGACTGATGGTGATCATTCTATGTAAACCTCTGCATTCATTCATAATTCAAGTGTCAAAGTATTACACACACCTGGAAAATTTCCATACCCAACAATTAATAAGTATATATTTTACTTAAGTAATATCATCACTTGAAAAGGCAAAAAATCATCAATTACACATCAGCCAAAGTCATCACTTAAGAAAGCAAAAAACAATATAAATTATCAATAAATTTCACTGGTCTGTGTGTATACTCCTCAACTGGAATACATTCCTGTCTTTAATTGATAATTTTTTACTTTCTTTATTTAGAAACGATTTCTTCATTTTGAAGAAGTTTCACTTGAACTAAGTCTCTCCTATCCTTCAATCAGACATGGCAAAACTGCCTTTGTGGATTTTATGTATTGTGGCAGTGTTGTCAGGTAGTCTCACTTGCCTATTTAATATAATGCTTTCTTGCATTGGATATTACTTAGTGCTTGAGTATCAAGTTCAACTCATAAGACACCAGCTTAATTGTCACACATTAATTTCTGACTGAATTGCTTTCTATAATTAATATTAGCTTTCTATAATAAATTAAATTTAAATCTATCATGCATTTGAATACAAATTGTGAAGTAAGAGATCTATACCAATTTCTAGTTATTCATTGCTCACAGGTATCAATGAAAACGTCTAAAATTTCTTTCTGTTTTTGAGTTGACAATGATTGGATCAGTAACAACTTAAGTCAAAATGTGCTACTCATTGAACCTACAAAAAAATTCATTAATTGGTAAGCTATTTATTTATTAACTTGATCATGCATTTTTGTTTTCAGGATCCCTGTTGAGACACAAAATTCATGCCTAAAATCAATGAACTATGACCATTGTTTAATGAAAATCTGGTAAATGTCGTGTTTTTGCAATCAAGATAAATATCTAAGACACTCATATTATTGGTAAGAAAGTGTCCTGATGCTGCTGTACTAGAAATGGAAAAAGAGTACAGCATGAATTTACTAAAAGACTGTTATGTCTCCTTGTGTGATATTGGAATTTTTGGAGATTTGAGTGGGAGAATAGTTTTGGAAGAGGAAGGAGATGAAAGTAATAAAAAATCTCTTGGAATGGTGGATGCCACTTCTGTTGATGGTCCTCTTACCATAGATAATGACTCCCAAGCTCATCATGTCCCTATAATTGGCCAAGATTCTATTACTTCTGATTATGTAAATCCAACTCCAGCAGCCACTGAAGGATCAACTGCTACTTCAATATCAGCCTGGGTCTCAAAGATCAGAAAAACCTTGAATGAGCTGAGCACATTTTCTAATGAGCATGATGGGCAGTCAGACAAGGGAAGCATACAAGTAATCAGAAAGTGCCAACAAGCTCTTGAATATATTGCGAAAAAGGATAACACTTATGAGAATATCTTACCAGGAATTAGATTGAAATTATATGATTTCGAAGAAAAAGGAAGTTTAATAAATTTTAAAACAAAGAAATTAGACAAGGAGACATTGTCGAGTTTCCCAGAAGATGATGACATTCTAACAAACAATTGTGGGAATTGGTGTGACGGGTTGGACAATGCTGATGAAATCCTGAAGATCTCTAGCCAGTCTGCAGTCACAGCATTCCATGAGAAAGATAAGTATCATAGAGAATGCATCACTCCTCTGTTAAACAGTTTCCAAGATCTTGAAACAAGCAATGAATTATTTTCTGAGCTCCCACATCCTTCTGCGTTTCTAGGATTCGATCCAATTACACATTGTGATGCAGATGAAGAATTATCTCTTTCCTATGACACCCTACACAAGAACACTGACAATAATTCGCTCTTGGCATTTGATTACCAAGTTCCAAAGGATTGTGAAAGTGACTATACATCACACTTAGCATTTGATGACCAGGATTTAAAGGTTTGGGAAGCAAAGGATCATTTTTATTTGCCAGTCAGTTGTTGTGAACGGCTCGGTTCAAGGACTCCACCTGAAGCTATTGAAGCAGATGATATCCCAACATTGCTTATGGATAAAAGGTCTCAAATTCTAAAGGCAGAAGAACCAGCTAAATTCTTGGATTATGATGTCAAATATATTTGTCAACATTGTGATTTTGAGTGAGTATTTGTCTCGAATATTTACATAAATCTCTTGGTCTTGTATATTCAACATGTATGCATACATTGTGCTTTGCTCTAGAATTAGACATTTTTACAAGTGTATCATTATATTATATATTCTTTATTAAAATTGAATACTACAATATTTAATTTCATTGAAATCTGTAGAACACGTTATTTGAGTTTGATGTTGACATCCTTTAATGTTTTTTTACTAGGTAGTTAATATGGTTTTTATTGGTCAGTGAACTTGAGAGCTCATCTCTGTCAAATGAATTTCAAATCATTTCAAGAAATTTATAGATGATTTATGAGTTTATCAATAGATAATATCTTGGCTCTATATATCTATTGGTAGCTTATCTCTGACCTGCCTTACATTCATCATGTTCTGGCGAGCATTGATAGCATATCTCTGACATGTGTTGTATTCACCATGTTTTGGCCTCTATTCATAGGTTATATTTGACCTGCGTCACATTCATTACGTTCTAGCTTCTTTTGAGAGCTTATCTCTGTACCTATGTTACATTCATTATTGCCTGGCATCTATTGACAGCTCATCTCTGACTTCTATTACATTCATGATGTTCTGGAAACATGATTGATTATTCTACCAGATTTCTTTCTTCCAGGGTACCATACACGGTGGGTAATATGACGGAGATCGTCCAGCATCTGCTACCACTCAGAAAGTTCACTCAAGAAAGTTCAGATAATATTCTGGAGCAGGTATTGGTTTCCAGACTTGAATTGAGGCAAGAATTCTCAGATGGTATCAAGGTACAGTTATGCAAGCTTTTTGATGTATTGGTAGTTTTAATATTTGGATATTTTTCCGTAACTAAAGTTAATATAATCTTTGCATTTTCCAATTAATGCAATTATTTTTCAACACGTTTTCCCAGTTTCCCATTGTTGCAACATGAAAAATTATCATTTATCATAATTGATTGGTGTCTTTTTTTCAGGTACAAGTCGCATCAACCTTGGTGTGCAAACTATGTTCTAAAAAATTTGAAGTTTATTGTGAAAATCTATACGAAGTGGCTCATCATTTAAATTATTGTGCTATGAAAACATCTGGAGGATCGCCCATCTGCATATTCTGCCGTGAAGGCGTGGCAGCAGATTGCATGGACCAGCACTTCGACCAGCGCAGTCCTCAATGCTGTACGGCCGCATGGGTGAAAATAGCAGAGATCCTGCCTATTGGGTGCAAAAAAGTAACTCAGGTGAGTAAGAAACCTACCAACTAAGGGGCAGGTAAATTTAGGTAATATCTATTCAAATGGCAAGTTTGTCTTTTGATTATGAAGTTGGCTAAAATTAATTAGCAACACGGGGGCTTATTCGTTAACTGTTTTGTTTTTATGTAAACTGAAATTTAGCTTTTAAAGTAGGTTGGTGCTTAACATTTATAAAAAATTTCGTTACAGCGCAGGATTGGAATTTTCTGCATTTTACATCTGTATTTCAAAAAAAAACTATAGCAACTTTAATGAACAAATTTACGCAACGTTACTGGTTCATTTTATGGGATGTAGCTGTAATACTTCTCTCAATGGCTATTTATAAAGCAATGCTTGTAAAATGGTTCCTCTATTCGTTAATACGAAACTTCACGAATCAGTATTGGAATTTTGGGAATAAATGGCAATGAGTGACTTTTAAGCTATTATGTTCCGCATCATTTGATTATCACTGCAAATGTAAATATTTGTTTATTTTTGCAGGATCTTCGAACTCGATGCCAGTTATGTAAAGCGGTTTTCTCTCCATTCGATTGCATCCCGTTGGATGCTAAAGCTTTCTGTACAACCTGTCACAGCAACCTCACCACAGCAAACATACTCGCAGTTGATTCAAACTCTCAACAAAAATGTACGCTATGCAATTCAAGTTGTTCTCAGAAATTTATGACTCTGTCTGAACCACAAATTCGTGTAGGTTCTCACTGCTGGATCTCTTTGAGGTTCAGTAAAAAAGGTATAAAAACTAGAGACCCTTGTTGGGCTTTTAGAAGCCTGACCAGCCTGTTAGGATCAACTTATAACAAGTTATCTAAAAAAATTTTAATAATGGAATCAGAAACTCTTTACCACACAGTTTCTTTTCCATACATGAAATAAGCCAAACAAAAAAAAAAGTTGAATAAATAAAACTGAAGCTAGTCGGACAAAGCGACACTCAGTACTAATGCAACAATATAGTTCATAATATTTTTTCAATGTAAAATTCATCGATTACATCTGGAATGGGTTGATTTCATGAATGAATGCATTGCCAGACGCGACTCACGCATAACTTATTCACTTTTATGGGATGAACTCGTATATTTAAATGCAGCTTTACTTCTGTTATGATTGTTTCCGTTCCCACAAGAAAATACTCTAAATTTGGTTTTCCATTCAATTGCTGCGAAATCGATATTAAAACATCCTACTAATAATTGCGTTCCAAAAAGTGAGAGATAATCTGATGAAAATGGCCTTGCTTTCTGCTCCAATTATGATTAACAAGTTTCTTGCCTTTGCTTCTTTTATATCAGACTGAGGATGTGATGCTGCGATTAATATTTAATTTAATGATTAATATTTGTCAACGTCGTCCGAAATTGTCGCGTGTGAAGTGACTGTTAAACTCATTTTTTACGTTCACACAATATATTTAGAAAGAGTTGAGCGTCCGTGATACTCGAATTTGTCTCAATAGTCATCAAAAATATTCATGGTATTTCTCCTTAAACGATTTTATGTTTCTTAAATACGTTTCTGGCTTAGACTCTATTCAAATTCGCATATTTATACAATCTTGTGAATAGTTTGAAACTATTGAAAAAATTATGTATATATGGGGAGTTCCATTTAATCAAAAAATGAGCTTAAATCCTGATAAGACAGGCATAGCATATGCATCTTATTCTTGTATATAAAGCGTTTAAATATTAGATACAAAATATTTTTCGCCTTAAGTGTACCCTGCTTCTATGAAGTCACGATAGAAATTTGGACAAAAAGAGAACCAGGTGTTGCGTTTCAACTGTGACCTGACCCACTTTAAAGAATCATGTGATAGTTCTTTCAGTCTATTTACATTATTATGACGCTCTGTATTCACATTTAGTGCATTTACGTAAAAATGTCGTTTTTGATTAAATTTCATTACAATCTTCTCTTTCATTGATTCACATTCATCACGTCAAAATATTCACATACATATCTGGAAACAAATTTTCCCTAATATTTTCCAATACAAGAACCTATACAAGATTCCTACAATAGCCAGAGGTAATTGGATGACAGGCTCTCGAGTTGTTGAATAGACTGCAAGGCGCCATGATTGCTTTATCATTATTTCAAATCAAGCGGAATGAGTGAGCTCTAACATAATAAACGTGTCTCATGGGAGGCGCAGCTTAGGCGTAAGCTAAATAGTTTTTATAGAATAGAAGTGTCGGCACTGAAGAAATAGGCCCATGGCCCGCTGCCGATTCTTGTACTTGTGACTTGATTCACAAGGGATCCGGCCTTCGGAACCCGATCTTTCCATAACTGACGAGGGTCGCCTGCTGAAGACCACCACTGCCCTGAATGTAATGGGCCATCATGATTCCTGCCTTCCGGAATGTAGCCTTCAACACTTCAAGCCGTCCGGATCTAGGCCGTGGGTCGAACCAGCCCTCGGTCGAACGGCAACTGGTCGAAGGACGATAAATTTTGGAACAGAACTATGCTATCTGAAACCTAACCTCAGATGCTGTGAACGTAAAATTACGTAATTTAACGATGCCTGGAAGTCATATTCGATCCGCGGCCTGGTGGTGCACGGCAGGTTCTATGCAAGGCCGGAGGAGGACAAAGCCGAGTGGTTCACGGCTGATTGGTGGATGTCCGGAGAGATCCAAAGCGTTCGATTCAGGGCTTATTGGTGCACACAATTGGTGGTGCACGGCTGCTCTCCCAACTGACGATTGATTGAGATACGTAGCTTATGGACTTGTTGCCAGGTCCGTAAGTTGCTAGGCATTTTAAGAATTATGTCAAGTTTCACGTCTAGTTATATTATCGAAGAATTCAGTGACAGTTGATAGTTAAATCTGGTTAAAAAACTAAAACTGGTGGTCCTATGTGAGCAGGTCACACGTTTCGGCGCGAATTTCCGTCAATAGCTTGGATATCTTCAAAGGGAATTTCAATATGTGTATTTGCTTGGATCAATATTCTTGTAATAAGAAATACCCTTCGAAAAGGTACTTTGACGTATATCTATGCTCATCAGATGGGCCAATGGGATTTAGTGTTGCCAGAGGCATGGTTCTTTAGCCGCCATCACAGCGTGTGGTCGAGTTGATTGGCAGGGCAGTTGTGGGGTTAAGTTGTGTAGGCAGGGCAGTTGTGGGGTTAAGTTATTGTGTATGCAGGGCAGTTGTGGGGTTAAGTTGTTGTGTAGGCAGGGCAGTTGTGGGGTTAAGTTATTGATTAGGCAGAGCAGTTGTGGGGTCAAGTTGTTGTGTAGGCAGGGCAGTTATGGGGTAAAGTTGTTGTGTAGGCAGGGCAGGTATGGGGTTAAGTTGTGTAGGCAGGGCAGTTGTGGGGTTAAGTTGTTGTGTAGGCAGGGCAGCTGTGGGGTTAAGTTGTTGTGTAGGCAGGGCAGCTGTGGGGTCAAGTTGTTGTGTAGGCAGGGCAGTTATGGGGTCAAGTTGTTGTGTAGGCAGGGCAGTTGTGGGGTCAAGTTGTTGTGTAGGCAGGGCAGTTATGGAGTCAAGTTGTTTTGTAGGCCGGGCAGTTGTGGGGTTAAGTTGTTGTGTAGGCAGGGCAATTGTGGGGTCAAGTTGTTGTGTAGGCAGGGCAGGTATGGGGTCAAGTTGTTGTAAAGGCAGGATCCCTTGTGAATTAAGTCACGAAAAGTATAAGAATCGGCAACAGGCCATGGGCCTATTTCTTCAACGCCGACACTTCTATTCTATTCTAACAGGTAAATGGAAAATTAATAGTTCAAACTGTCTTGCGATCATACAAGTTTTGTGTCCAGTATGAATTGCGCTTTGAGAAAAATTAAGTTATTTGTTTTTAGGTACACTGAGAAAAATGAATGGTTCCTATTGTCCTAATAATGACACTTTTTTAACCACGTCACGAGCAGATCGAGAGCGGACGTAGCACTGATACGCCCTTTTGCCGGACCAAATTGAGTAAGAATGACAAACACGAGGGCAAAAACATTACTATTTTTACAAAGTCTCTATATTTATGAGCGTTTGCTCATTTATTTTCTGTTCAGAATGGAACAAGAGAAATCTAGGAGTGGAATGGGTTTTCCGTATCTAACGGTTACAGTGACAGCAGAATTCCGTATTGTAATGACCGTGTCGATTATCTTTAAAAAATTGCACATTCACATAAAGGCTTGAACCATTCATTTACGAATAAAAATTTCAAGTTAGAAGTGTATAAACACATACTACGTTCAGGGCTCCGAGGGTTTCTGTAAGTATCCAATAGGCTTTGAGAGTTTTCGTTAGTCTGTAATAAGTGCCGATGGTTTCTTTAAGTCTGAAATTAAGGGTTTCTGTAAGCCTGTAATTGTCTCCGAGGGTTCCTGTATGTGTACAATAGGCTTTAAGGGTTTCTGAAATTAGGAAATATATTTTTATGGGTTCTGTAATTGTTTATTACGTTTTTAGAGATTCTGCAATTCTGTAATAGTCTCTACAGGTTTATGTAATTCTGCAATAAGCTCCGACGGTTTCTTTAATTCCGCAAAAGTCTTTGAAAATTTCTGTAAAAGTGCAAAAGTTTCCGAAGATTTCTGTAATTCTAAAATACCTTCCGGCGCCTTCTGTAATTCTGCAATAGGCTACAAGGGTTTCTAATTGTTCGTCGGGGCTTCAGAAATGTCAACCTGCATGATTGAAGCTGGTCAGTCGTAGGGTGGACGAGAAGTACTCAGACTACCAAATTGTGGAGCCTCAGTAAGAAATCTGTGTGGACTCGACTCGTCGACTGTGTGCTGTGAATGGCTTGAAAGGACCTAATCAACGATTAAAAGGACCTAAATAAACTATTGTAAGGACCTAATCAACTATTGTAAGGACCTAATCAACGATTGACAGGACCTAATCAACTATTGTAAGGACCTAATCAATGATTGAAAGGACCTAATCAACAATTGGACGGACCTAATCAACAATTGAAAAGGACCTAATCAACGTTTGCAGGCCTAATATGGAAAGTAATAACAGTCGCCAGGTCTTCCGATATATACGATTTTTGAGAGGACGGATTCTTCAGTGTTGCTTATGGATGAAGATGGAACAATTCTCGCTTGAAATAAATAGTCTAGAAATAGCAGTCCATTTTTAAGTCCATCATCTTCTAAGTTTGTAATTTTACTGCATTGTTTCTGAAAAAATTTACTAGGTTTTTTGTCCAACCTCAACCGAAGCCATCGCAGCAGGTGTGACCCCATGCGTTGCTATATCTAGCATTTCTGTTACTGGTTTGTATGATATTCGATTTGCTCGACCCGTGGCTCTGAATCTTCTTGGTCTTCCATGTAACTAAGTCGTGTCGTATTGAAAGAATCCAGATCATCTGACCTCCATGCACAACGAAGCCTAATAGTAACCAACGCTGAGGTATCCTCACAACCCCTCTTAGGTCACGTGACCCAATACAGAATTAAGTGCGGAGATTTTGCTTCCTACTCCTTTCAATTGATCTTAGTCATATTGTTTTCAATCTGTTACAGCCTGTTTGTATCTAACGTACTTGTAAAGATGGCAATTTTACAAACAGAAGATTCTTAAATATTCTGGAAGTAACTATTCATGTTAGCACTCTCAAGCATAAGTTCCCGCTGAAATGAAGTTCGAATGATTTCCTGCCGCGCCACAGAGGCAAGTTCATCAGAATTTATGGGTGGTAAGATTCCAAAGACCCTTGTAAGACGTGCTGCTTTGGTGTACCGAGCTGGGTTGGTAGTCAACAATCGTGAAATTATGCTTAAACGGATTTGTAATTAGTTTGGAGGTAGATGGCATATATAATATTTTATGGCAAAGGCTGAGATGGTTGTTCATAGCTCATGCTGGTAATTTTGTGTCTGTTATGTTAAAACTTGGGGAAGGTTGAGCGAGTTAAGTTTCAGTTGAATGTTTTGAAGTTCAGTTCAGCATGTTAGAAAAATCTCGTTTTTGTTCCGGTACGTGCAATGTCGATTCTGAAAAAAAACGGGAAAGTTGCTTGGAGTCCATGCTGAAATGCCGAACTCCAACTTAAAGAGAACTATTTGTATATTGGATAGAGAGTTCCTTTCTTTTATCAGACTGTTGTACCTATACAAAAATCACCGTATGTTCTCCGTGAGGAGGCCACGTCATACGGCAGATACACGAGCGAAGACACGTTCCGTCGTTCTCGGCTGGTGAATTTTTAACAATTCTTCTGGCTTTGTACGACATTGGGCAAATGAGTACAATGTCCATAAAGATTCGAAAGCGGTGATAGGGGTTATTTCTATGTCAGCCCTAAGAGAAAAGGTTCAC